CTAGATACATTCTACCCTACGGACAGAGTGGTACCACAGCTGTGGGGCCCACATCAATGTTCTCTACACCAACAAATAATGGCTTTTAGCCTACTTATGATGGAAAGCGAACTTGATTATATTTCTGAATAGGTTTTAAGTAGCCCATATTAAGGTTCAAAATATCGATAAGTGTCATATTGGTGGCCTCTCGGTACGCCCTACAGGACGATATGCCTTAAACTGACCCCTCTGAACTGGTTCAGGGGGTAGATGGGCCTTAAACTGACCCCTCTGAACCAGTTTGAAAAAAAAAAACTAAGAAAACATATATGTGAAACTCAATACAGGCCGATATGCCCCAACTGGCATATCAGCCTGTGTCAATATTTTGAACATTGGCCCATATAAGGTTTATTTTGGTAGGATTTTAAAAGAACAACCCCTTGACAAAATTAAAAAAGAATTGAAGAAATGGCAAACTAAAGAATCAAATCCTAGTCAAATTGATTTGAACCATGTGAATATAATATTCACAAGTCATGTTTGTAGCAAATTCAAGAGATGACTAACATACTCTTTTATTTGCTACATAGTCAACCTATGTGCTGTTTTACTTCATAACCCTCATCTCCAGTTCTCCACCCATAAATTAGGGCAAATTCTGTTTGTGCTTTTACTATTTTTTCATATAATGCATAGGCATTGTTATAGCTAACTAAGAAAAAGTAAAGCAGATGGTCTGGATTTAGGACAGTGTAGGTTCTCAAGCAATGTGAGGGTGGGCCTTGGTGCAGTGGTTGGATTGCTCCATTTCGACCTGGGTGACCAGGGTTCAAATCTTGGAAATAGCCTTTCTGTATGTGCAGGTCTAAGGCTGTGTACATCTGTCCCTCCCTAAACCTTGCATTGACGGGAGCCCCGTGCACTGGGCTGCCCTTCTAATGTTCTCAAGCATTGTGAACTTTGGTTTGTGATATATTGAATGGTTGAACTGGCATATTTATTAGAAAAAGGGTTGAATTGGCATTTGATTTCTCTCAACTGATGGCCAAATCTACCAAACAGGAAATACTAGGAATGACAATAGGTTGAATTGATGTGGATTTTTGTTAACTTTGGTGTTGAAAACAATGTTTTAAAACGCGGAGGCGTCCCGAACACAAGGAGGCGTAAGCCTCCTTAAGAGGAGGGGGGTTAGGAGGAGGATGAAGAGGAAGGGGGGATCTCATTTTTTTCTTTATTTTTAATAAAAATCTTTTATTAAGAAGAATAAAGATGCATAACATTAGTTCAAAGGGGGGGCAAGGGGAAAACCACTTTCTTTCCCCTTATCTTTTCTTCCCTTCCCTTTCCTTTCATTTTTTCTTTTTTTTCTTCTCTTTCTTTTTCTTTCCCTTCCCTTTCTTTTCCTTTCCTTTTTTTTTCTGTCTTTTTATATCAGATGTGCATGAGGCGCATGAGGTGTACGCTTCTAGCACGCCTCATGAAAAAAGCGCAAGAGGCATGCACCTCTTGCACCTGAGGCGTACGCCTCAGAGGTGTCAGTGCCTCTGGCATACGCCTCAGGGCATTTTGGGAGCGCCTCCTCCAGGCGTACGCCTCCCACGCCTTTTAAAACACTGGTTGAAAATGCACAGAGGCCTGGTTCACCCCATATTGGCCAAGTACTAATGGGGACTATTAATGGAGTCTATGTCTATAGTTATATATGTTCACTCTGGTTTGGTCTGAGCTAACTTTTAGAAAGGGCTAGTTTTKCTTGCTTGATCCTTAACTTGGCCTAGCAATTTTTTTTKATCGGCGTTGGCCTAGCAATTATCAGTAGGGACCATTCATAGAATCTGCATGCTCAAGGTCAGTTCAGATTGGGGATTGGAGAAGGCCAATTTAAACTCATTAAACCTCATTCCTTTCTTTATTTCCTTATTTTTTCTTTCTTTTACTTTTGTTTTGTTGGGGGGAGGGGGTTGGGGTTTGGTGTGGTTGTGCTGGTAGTAGGCTACAAAAGGAAGCCCCTCAATTCTCTGTACTGGATGGTTTGGATGGAAGTGGGGTAAGCAGAATTGTGCCTTAATTGTACCCTAGCCTCAACTCCCTCCCCATATTTGTGTGGTATATGAGGAGGTTATTTCAATATAGTCTATGGATATTGGATGATACCACAAACTTCCCTGTAAGTTACCACCTGAAGTAAGCTCATACATAAAAAATGTAACTTGTATGCTTTATCTTGATGCAGTTCTGGCACTCTTCCTTCTGTGTGTAAGATCTCTTCAGGTCAGGCAGCATACCACTTCCTGGCTGGCTATCAGAATGGTAATTTTGTGCCTGCATACGGCAAGGGTCCCTCACCCGTTGACCCTTTGGAGCTAGCAAAATCTCTTCTTTTAAAGGTCTGATAAGAACTTGTTTATTGTCATGCATCACTAACATTCTGTATTCATATATTTTATGGTTTGACCAATAATTGTTATTGTCATGTGTTTCTTTTCCCTCTACATCTTTTGCAGTTAAAAGAAAACCAGATTCCATCCTTCCTGGTTAATATTGGCGAAGGAGACAAACGGAAAACAGGTAAGCTGGAAATAAACATTGGTTGTGAATATGAAAATTCTGCCTGGTTGGGTGTGTGGTTATGATGCAAGAGCTGAAGTGGCAAAATAGGGATTTTCTGAAATTTTATTGTTTCTGTATTTTTTTTTTGGATAGTAGGGGTATTTTCATCATTTTGACCTGTCCTATGTGGGCCTGGCTCATGATATCTTGTTCTGTTAGTTTAAGAGGGTTTATCTTTAAATTTTCAGTTTGATTGCATTAGTAGGTGTTAATGTGGTTCTTAATGCATAAGACAGGGTGTGGCATTTTGGTAATTATGATGAACAGTATTTCAGGCCACATAAGTTACTCTCTAGAAATAGATGTATTCTCTTCCTTTTGAAGCTAGTGAAGATTTCTTTAGAGCACTCTTGGAAGTTTCCTGTATGGAGTGTGATTCCTACAAACCCTAGAGTGATTCTATCTCCCTTGGAGAAAGGATTAAAATATTGACACGAATATGCTGATATGGGGCATATTGTATCCGTATCCAAAGGTGTGTAGGTACATGGAATGGGTGGAAAATGATACAACTTATGCTGATAGACATGACTGCTGCTAAAGGTTATAGTGGTGGTCATGACTACTGTACTGCTGCCATAGCTCCCTGACTGCTGTCATAGGTCCAAAAGTGCTGATTCCTCCAAAATTTTTTGAGAATTTCTATAGGCTTTCTCAACAACCTATAGAAAATTATAAATGATTTTATATATGATTTAAATGATTTTAATTGCATGAAAGAACTATAAGATGGATGTATCAATGATCTATCAAACTCATTAATCCAACAACAATTTAAATATTTAATGTATCTTGTACTGAACTTTTGGTAGATTGGAAATATGCTAATGGGCTGGGCTTCAGGCTTGGCCCATTAACATTTTACACTGTCGGACTTGGGCTTCAGCCTGGCCCATGAATAGGTCTTATTGGAAGCTCAAACATTGTTTGAAGTATTATTAATAAAATTATTGTATGATATGTTTATGTTCAAGATTCCTGGTGTTGTTGATTGTAATGTATCTATGTAAGTATGCATTTATTATGTGTTAATACCTTATTCATAGTTATTTCAATTTATATTTATCATTATTGATGTATTTGTGGGATTTGTAAGAGTTTCTTGAATGTATCCAAGGCTCCAAGCATATTTATTTCTTTCCACCGTATCCATGCATATCCAAAGCGTATTATGCTATGTATCCCTATCCAAGCTTTATTAATACAATGTATGATACCTATACATTAAACCTCTCTTTCTATCTTGTGTTAATTTATTATAGACTTGTTGCACAACTTTTGGTATCAGAGAATGGTTACTCACTATTGTTGAGGTTTTAGTAGCTTTTGTTTTATTTTTAAATTAGTGTTATTGGGCTCAAGGTCCAACAGCTTTCATGTTTGTTTTTTATGTTATTAACAGCAGCTGCCCTATGAAGGACATATTGGACATTATACTTCTTTTTATTTAATGAGTATATAAGCTATTGAGTGGGGCAGCTAGATTGATAATTGGTTTATCACATCTCTTCTTTTCATTCTTCTCTTCTCTTCTCTTCTCTTCAAGAAACCTTTCTCTTTCTTTCTTTTTTATATCTGTTATAAATCAGATTTTTTTTCTTGATTTTTCTACTTGTTATTAGAGCACTTTCTAAGGATTGTTGGGTTTCTACCATGCAGTCCTAGATCAATCAACTGCATGGTGAGTTAGAGATCTGATCGAAGACTTCAAAAGGGCCCAGTTCTTGGATTTTTTGGTGGATCTAGAACCTTGTGTCTGATCTTGGGTCGAAGAGCTATAGAAGAAGGAAGAATCCTGATTGCAATAGGACTTTATTTTTGACCTAGGAAGAGGTGCTCAAGTTTTTTTACATTCCTTGATGTTTTTTGAAGGGCTTCTAGAGGGCGCGAAAACCTCTTATCTTGGGACCTACTAGATCCTAGGAAGACATGAATCTCTCCAGGTGAAGGTTTTTTTTTGTTTTCAGAAGTTTTGTTGAGGTTTCCAAAGGGGACAGATTTGTGTCTAGAGGATTTTTCTTGTCTACAGTTGAAATTTTAATCTGTTTTGGGAACTATGGAAGGTAGTGGAGTAGAACACAAATCTACAATTAAGTTAGATGGTACAAATTATTTGGAATAGTCACAATCAACCAAGATGAGAATTTGYGCTCATGGAAAATTGGGGTATGTAATTGGTGAAGAGAAAAAAACCTAAAACAACTCATCCTGGTGGGTGCAGGTGAATTACATGGTGATGACTTGGCTTTGTAATTCTATGTTACCCCATATAAGCAAGAATTTTCTATGGGTTAACAACACAGGTAAGGAAATTTGGGATGGAGTTGTAGAGACCTACTTACATTGTGAGAATGTTGCCAGCACTTGCTAGTTGAGGATTAGGTGATTAGCACAAGGCAGGGACATAAACCTATTGCAGTTTACTTTTTAGCTCTTAAAACCTTGTGGCAAAAGATTGGCCACTTAGAGACTATGGTTTGGAGAGAGCCTCACTAGCATTCTTTGGTATAGATACATAATCAAGAGAGGATAGTAAGGCACGGTAGGAGGAAGATAAGCCACTATAGGAAAGATAATGTAAAATACAATGGGCTATACACTTTCTCTTCCCCTTCCAGGGTGCGAAAGGAAGGTCTAGGTCATCTATAATAAGGTTAGGTAGAGGTGTAATATCAACAAGAATTGAAACATCAGTGGAAGCAAAAGGCATACCTGAGTTGATGCCAACCAAACTTGGAATCTCAAATGAGCCAATGGTAAGTGGTGGGGGTTCCTATGTTGTGGAATCAACCCCCTATTTTGTCGTATGTATTGACATGTAAAAACTGACAAGTAGGACATAATGAGGTAGGCAAAGTAGGTGGAACTAGGTTGGATATTGGAGTGGGTAAAGGAGTTGGAATAGGAAGTGTGTGGCTTTCTCATTGTCTCCTGCAAACATGAGATCTTCATTTCCCAAAGAAAGTATGTGTTGGATCTGGTAAAGGAGATTGGAAAACTTGGTGTCAAACCAATTGATACACCTATTGCCTAGAACCACAGAATTAATGCATCGGATGGTGAGTTAGTCAAGTATGTTGGGAGGTACTAGAGATTGGTGGGCCGATTGCTATACTTGTGCATGACATGTCCAGATATCTCCTATGCAGTTAGTGTGGTGAGGTAGTACATGCATGCTCCATGAGCTCAACACTATGAAGCCATTGACATGATACTTGCTTATTTGAAAAGGCACCCAGGTAGAGGGATATTGTTTGCTGATCATGGACACATGAAGTTAGAAGCTTATATAGATGCAGATTAGGTAGGGTACCTATATGACAGGAGATCTACATCAGGAGTTTGCACTTTTGTTGGAGGTAATGGGTATCATGGAAGACTAAAAAACATCCAGGTCAAGTGCAAAAGCAAAATATAGAGCTATGGAACATGGTGTTTCAGAGCTTCTATGGGTTTGATCCTTACTGGGAGAGCTTGGAATTGATGCAGAGAAACCTACGATGCTGTACTGTGATTATCAAGCAACAATTAGTGTTATTGGGGAATAGACATGCATTTTATAAGAGAAAGAGTGACATCTCGGGAAGTTTGTTTGCCATATGTTTCATTTGACTTGCAACTTGCCGATGTACTCACCAAGGGGGTTGCAAAAAACAAGCTTGAACATGATTTACACAAGTTGGGAATGTGTGACATCTACTCCCAACTTGGGGGGAGTGTTGAGGTTTTAGTAGCTTTTGTTTATTTTTAAATTAGTGTTAGTGTTACTGGGCCCAAGGCCCAACAGCTTTTATGTTTTTTTTTTTTTTTTTTTTTTTTTATGTTATTGACAGCATCCGCCCTTTTAAGGGCATATTAGACATTATACTTATTTTTATTTATGAGTATATAATCTATTGAGTTTGGCGGCCAGATTGATCATTGGCTTCTCCCGTCTCTTCTCATTCTTCTCTTCTCTCCAAGAAACCTTTCTCTTTCTTCCTTTTTATTTCTCTTATAAATCAGATTATTTTTTTCTGAGTTTTCTACTACTATCTTCTGACAAAGTGACCTCTTCTATAGGCCTAAGGTATCTTCTAAACAATCTCATGGATCTAGAATCAATGATGATTGGGTCATTGGACCATACAAAGCGCTTTGTTGGCTTTTAGAAGTTGGTGGAAGAAAACAGATCCAATAATGTCGACTATAGGAGTATGGTTTTCAACAATGTTAGAAGAGAAAGGGAAATTGGGTTGCTGAACTAGAAGAATATTTTAATTGTTATGATGTCTGACAAAAGATTAGATTTGCATGCCTGAAGCTCAGGGGTCACTGTAAAGTATGGTGGACTCTTGACTAACAACTAGAACAAAGGTGATGATCCTATTACTATGTGGGCAGATACAAATAGGTATTTGCAAGAAAAGTACTTTCCACTAGACTTCCATGGTGATCTATATTGAGTTGGCTCTCAATATAGTTACAACAAAGAATTTGAAGCCAATAATAAGGTACAAAGTTTAAGATAAAGCAGATGATTCCTTGCATGTTGAAACCTAACTTAGAGCTAAACTTAGAGAATAAAGAATCAGTATTTCAACCTATAGAAGTTGTAGATATTGAAGAAAAAATTGGATCAAGGGATGTGGGCCAATGAAGTTAAAGGATCAAGGGATGTGTGCCAATGAAGTTAAAGAATCAGAATTTTTTTTGATGAATAATAATAAGTTTATTGATTCAGAAGCAACTTTAGAGTGAGTTCATACATCATCCCAACGAGAGGCACGAGCTGCAGCCCCTCCTTGAGTCTTACAAGTAAACTAGGAAAGAAAAACAATAATCACAACTGAGCCCAAAATAATTCTTCCCTATTTAAAGAATCAGAATTTCACCCCGACCCCGAGCCCCTTATCTATGCATCTCCATTCTTCTTAATATAAAATATTTTTATTAAGAATAAAGAAAAATGAGATGCTCCTTCCTCCTCTTTGTCCTCTTAAGTAGGCTTACTGTAATGCACTGCTCAACTTTGTCCCTGACTAAGGGCATTTCTAGGAATTTCTAGACGCTTCTGGAGGATTCCACACATGCCTAGAATTTCCTAAGCCACTTTTTATAGAAATATCTTGAGTTCCCTTGTAAATATCTTGTGTATTTTAGACAGAAATGTTCTTAGAAGATGACTAGAAGTTTCCACCAAAGGAGGTGGAGTGTTTGGTCCAAATAAAGAGGTGGAAAGGTTGTGGTAAGGAGATGCTATCCAACGGTCCACATAAATAAGGAGGTGATAAATGAAGGGGCTAAGATTGCACCCCCAAAGGTGCTATCCAATGGTCCATCTTATAAATAAGAGTTGGTTCCCCCATTTGTAACTCTGGAATGCAATAAAGCTTTCACCTTCCCTAAGAGCTCTCTTTGCCTTTGTTCACTTGCCTCTAACCTTTCTTACCTTTGTTTCCCTAATTCCCTTGTCTTTCCTTTGCCATCTTGGTGCCCTAGTTACTTAGCTTGGGAAGTTAAATCTGTGGATAGTTAGGCTTACTCTTGCTAGTAGCTAACAGTGCCACATGATTTAAGCTTTGAGTAGTTGGGTCGTGACATTACGCCTCGTGTTTGGGAATCTTATGCCTGTTACGTTCTGAACTATGCCCGATGCCTCATGCCTCCAAGTAGTGGAACACCTCGTCACACCTCCATGTTTTAAAACATTGCTTCAAATCAAGGAAAGGAAGCTAGAAATGAGTAACAATATCCCAATCAATCTATAGGAATACCCTTTAAGTTTGCAATTAATGACATTTGGTGGAACCATTTGACGTTGGGATGATCCAAGCATCAAGTAGCACCATGCTTGGTTTTATGACTTAGTCCAATTCTACATCTGTACACTCATGATGATTCTTTTTATTGAACCACTTCTTGGACAATTAGACAGACTAATTGATCCAATGGTGTAGTCTGTAGACAATGTAACCAGTGTTGTTAATTTGTGAGCCATAAAATAAATTGAGCCATACTTCTCTCATGGACTTTGAATATTTTACATTAGTTATTATAGACGTTTTTAGATATCTATATATTTGTTCTTTAAGATCAACCAAGAAGTAACTTTTTAAAACTTTATGGCTGTTCAGGCAAGGAGCTAGTTAAGTTGGTTCAATCAATTCTGTCCAGTAGTATACCACCTTTTGAACCTAAAGGTAACCTTCTTCCAATGCATTTCTTGATCATAAAGAAAAAAACTTTACCTTTTAAGATGTATTTTTGTTTTTTCGCAGCTGGAGATCTTCAAGCGAAGTACAATAGCTTTGTATCTGGTAGGTTCCAAGAACTGCCCGAGGAATTCTCGTTCTGAAACCCGTTGAATGTTGGCATCTCTTGCAGCCTACTGAAGATATGAATGTGCACATTTCATTTATTAGATTGACCTGAGATCATGTGAGAAATTTTAGGCTCACAACATTTCTTGGAGTACAAAAAATTGTGGAATAAAATAACTTTTTATTTGCTTTTTTTTTCAAAGTTTATTTTCTTTTTTGTCCTTGTTCCGTCATGAAAACTAATAAGCACTTCTTCAGGTCAGAAAAGATAATTTGAGGAATTCAAGGACGCATGCTACAATATTGTAGGCTTCACATCATAGAATTTAATAGAAGTGGCCCTTATATAATTTAGGTGTTAAGAGAAATAAAATGATTTGTTGGGGCGCTTGTAACCCAGAAAGTTAGGGTCACAAAAAAGGTGGGATTCCTTTCATGGTTAATATAGACCAAGTGTTCATGTGTGTGTTTTGTATGTGACAATTTTTTTACGACAATGATAGGAAATAATATGTTCCAAAATTTTTTTACAACTTTTTTTTTATATTTGTATGGTTAATAAAATTATTTTTATTTGTCATACTTATTTTTATTTAATACGGTGATGTGCATGCATTTAAGTGTTATTTTACAATTTTTTTTTTTGTATTTTATAATCTTGTTTGTTTTCATCATTTTTAATTAATAATTTTATTTAATTAAGACATCAAGAGTACACATTTGACCCAAAATGTTGAATTATTGACTTGCCACCAAACAAGAAAACAACTCCATTTTGGCTTGGTTTTAAATTTGTATTTTATTTTTATCACCAATAAAATCAATTATTCTTTGTCACTTATTTTTCTTTAGGATATATTGAAATCTTCTTTGAAATTTCTAACCATTGTTGAAACCTCCTTTGAAGTTTAATAATTGCAATCACCTCCTGAACTTTTTGATACAGTTGCAAGTAGACCCCCTCTGGTAGAATCTTCTATAAAAAGGCATGAAAATGTCCAAAATACCCTTGCAATTACTATTTGATGCTGGTTTCTATAGGAAAAAAGCAATACAAACTTTATAAATAACAAAACAAAGTGAGTTTAAAGTTGCAACTTTACATTTGAGTGATTGATATGAAGGGCATATTTAGAAAATAAATTAATTTTAAAATGATATTGAAAGGGTTTGGGATAGTGATTCAGATGAAAAATAATTCAGAAAATAAACATTTTTGTTAAATTTCATGGATACTTTGGACATTTTCATGCTTCTTTTTAGAAGATTCTACTAGAGGGGGTCTACTTGCAATTATGTCAGAAAGTTTAGGGGAGGAGATTGTAATTATCAAACTTGAGGGGAGGTTTTAGCAATTTATCCTTTAGTTTAATATGTTTAATTAATATAGGGGAGGTGATTGCAATTACCAAACTTCAGGGGAGGTTTTAGCAATTTACCCTTTAATTTAATATGTTTAATAAATATAGAAGTTAATAAAAGAAGGGAAATTGTCTAAAACTCACAATGACTTTTCAACATTTTTCTTAAACTCACTATAACTTTTTAAAATGTCCAAGGAACCCCATGTTAGTAAGTTAACCTTAAATAGACTAGCAGGTGTTGGTGGATTACCATTTTACCCTTTGTTCTGTTGTAAATGAAAAGTAAAGCAAAAATTTGATAAAAACAACAAAAATATCTCTCAAATATTTTAGTCAATATTTTTTGTCCATTTTACATATTTAAGTAAAATGGGAGCTTCAAATAAAAAAAAAAGAAAAAGAACAATTTTTTATTCAAATCAAACTCATCTATGCTCTATATTTACTTGCACAGAACAACTGTCACTTTATCTCTTTTAATTTCAAATACAACAAGAACCTACATCAATAAAAGACCCATGGTCAAGAAGAGCACATGTGGTTATGTAGACCCAATGCCCACTTCTATTAGATGTCAGTTAGAACAAAGGTGTATTGAATAAAAATTAAGTTGAGATAAAAATATGTTTAATAAGGCTGACATGCCATTCGGGGGTAGTTTGGTCAAAAAATTGCATCTATGGTAATGTGAACAATTTTTGTCAATTGTCAATGAACACTAACAGTGCTCTATGGTGATTTTGGGAAAATAAAATGTCACTAACATGGGGTTCTTTGGACATTTTGAAAAGTTGTGGTGAGTTTAAGAGAAATGCTGAAAAGTCATGTTAAGTTTTAGACAACTTCCCATAAAAGAATGACAGTAATGAGAAGGAATTATGACATTTTGTACCAAATTAAAAAATAAGGGTATTTTAATCAAGAATAGGATTCATTGAATGTTAATGGCAACTAATATTAGAAATATAAGACATAATGAGAAGCATTTGAATGAAGATAAAAATGATTGTTCAAATTATTATTTTTATAATTAAAAAGTGACAGAATTTAAAAATTGGTACATTTTATTTAAATACAAATTTACACTTTTAATAGATAGAGATTTAGTGCATAAGATTCTCAGAGTGCATTTGTCAGGTGTTGGGTTATTGGTGTGTCATTGTTGATGTTCTGGGTTTGACCTGATCGATATCTTAGAGTATCTTTCCGTTTTGTCCTCAGCAAGGTTTTTAAAATTGAACTAGACAACGAATCGGTTAGGGGTCCAGTTCCCGGATCGAATGTTCCCGGATCGAATGATCCAATTGTTCAAACTGAATGGATGGCCCGTTCTGACAAAAAAAGAAAAAAAATGACCAAAATCGTTGGCGGTTCAAATAGTTTGAACGATTCAACTGTCCGGGTTAACAGTTTACTGATCAAATCAACGATTTTTGGCAAAATAACAATTCTAGGGTAAAATGACTGACTAATTCCCGGTTTTTCTGGTCCAACTGTCCGGTCTGATTTTGAAAACCATGATCCTCAGAGCGGTTCACTGGTTGCCAAGAGTCCAGCGGGGGGGTTTTCCTGATTGTCATGAGCTATAAGCATTGAATTATAGTCGGGAAAAGAAATTATTATTATCATTGGATGTTAGTGGTTGCTTTGTAGATCATTAAACTGATTGTCAGCTTTACAGTTGTGGAATTGGGAAGGGGACACTATGACTAGTGCCCCACCATCAGTCCATCAAGTGAACTTCTCTGGTTGCGAATTTACCCGATCAAGGTGATATATTGATCTGTATTTTATCATGTTTTTTTCTTTCGCTGCGTCATCATCTTTGATTCTAACCATGGCCCATGGGGTAGCTCTGATTTTTATTTTAGTTTTGATAATGCAACTCTGATTTGCTTATTGAGTAAAAGTTACTGTTGTCTGTGTCCCAATGCACATTGTGTATTTGTTTGTGCTGGCTAGAGACAGTCTAGTTTTTATTCATCCTGAGATCAAAATGTTTTTTGTTTATACCCGAAGGATGCATAGAGCAAAGTCTGACTTTGCTCTTTAAGCCCGATCCATTTAATGAAACTTGGCTATGTTTGGTAATCACTGCTTGAAGAATGAGTTTTCAGCAAAAAAAATATTAATTTTTTAAGCTAAACTTTGAACCCGAAAGTCTTAGAATCATATAAATTTTCATCATTAATTGACATCTGTGAAATCCTGTCAAAATGTGCCTTTAATTTCGAAATCCAAATTATAAGCATTTGAATTATAAATTTATAAGGGAAAATCTATGATTACTGAAAGACATGATATTGGAAGTGCTTTGACCAATCAAATTATCAAAGCACTCCGTGAATTTTGATTAATACCACCTGATTGGTCATCTCTTTTACAATGCCAGTTGATTGGCTGTGAGTTTTTCTGATGTCATATCTTTCTGGTATCATAGTCGAACCCATATAGTGTATTAATAGATGGAGATAGATTTGGTGTAGATTCTCCCTCTCATTAAGGGTGGATACGAGCTGAGCCAAATATTAGATTATTTGAGCTTAACTTGGCAGAAAAGCATAAGACTTGAATTTGGTCTCAAGCTTGATTGAGTTACAAATATTAGCTTGAATTTGACTTGACTCAAAAGCTTATATGTTTGAGCTCAGCTCAGCTTGAACTTGAAAATGAGCCAAGTTTTAAATAAAAAATAAAAAATTATATATAAATTTAAAAATATTATATATATATATATATATGAGCCAAGTTACAAATATATACCATTTAAACCCTTACGAATAATATGTATTATATGCATCATTTTATATTCATATTATAACTATAATATAAAACATATATATATATATATATATATATATATATATATATATATATATATATATATATATATATATATATATATATATATAATATGTGTTTGTGTGTGTATGTATGTATATGTATGAAGTATCTTATACTTTACATGTCAATATATTTGGGGGCTGGGATAGACTTGAGTTCGGTGGGCCAGGCCTGAAGTATTAGGCCTTGGCTTGGCCCTAAAGCTTTTGGGCTAGGCAGGGTGGGGCTAGAAATGATCACACCCATTTTCTGTTGAGCAAAGTTGGTCCAAGTCCATAATTGAAGCATTACCCTAGTGAGAGTGGCCAAATTCTGAATTAATTTTTATTATTTTAAATGGATTTTAGTTACACCTCAAATTAATAAAAAATAACTTTATTGTTAATACGTATATTAATTACTAATTTAGTTTTTATTATTTTTATAATGTATAATTAAAATTAATTCTAAAACTTTATTAATGTAATTATTTTAAAAGGAATACAAATTAATAAATTAAATTTAAAATCTATAATTTTTATTAGTAAATTTTACTAGCTATTACTACTTCTATTATTTTAATTATTTTTAAATAAAATTTAAATTACTAAAAAGTAATTATAAAGAAAATATTAGTTGTTTTTTTTGGGAATGTGAGAATGTTTTGAAGAAAGGCTTAAAAAATAAGTGTTTTAGAAGGAAACATTAGATGGAGAGAGAGAGGGAGAGAGAGAGAGAGAGAGAGAGAGAGGAGTAAAAAAGTTAGATGGTGTTAAGAAATGTTTAGGAGATGGTGAGAGATAATTTAGGTGATGTTTTAGGAGAAAGGTTTAGATAATTGGAAAGGTGATCCAAGTATCCAACTGCTGCTCAAGACCTTAGGGCCAATATTCCCTTTACTCATGAGCCCAAGTGTGGACCATAACAAGATGTTCAACATTGATGCTGGTCAAGGCGATCAACTTCTCACTGGACAAACTCTAAAGCTAGCTATTAAGGCTGTCAATTCTAAAAGGTATCCTAAATTAGGTCAAAACTGAAGCAGTCTAGGACTGGCTGAAAGCAATGCTGAAGTGGAAATTTCATGTTGTCTAGTCTTAAGCCCATGTAAAATTTGGTCAAGTTTGGGCTACACCTTTCTCATATCGAACTGAAGGCAAAAG